GTTATGACTAAATGAAACTCAATGTAAACACATAATACTACGGATTCCACAGTCATGTTCATGACAACATAACTACACATAAATTCATTGTTGTATATAAAGCAGTCACCTTAAACCATCAATGAAATTTCAGGGGAAAAACCCAACCCTTTCACATCAGGAACTACTTTTCCAAGATAGTCCTGTGCATCTAATGCTGGCTACAAACCCCAAAACACTGCTGCTGGATAACATGACTTTCTAGGACAAACTCTTCATGCACAAACGGATTACAAAAAGTGAGTGACTATCAACAAATGACAATTTTTAGCCCTCATTCACACCTACAATGAAGGTGCGTTTAGGGATTCCTGCGTCAGGAACTTGCGATTTCCTGCAGCAGGAATCCCAAATTTGCCATTTGCAAGTAGAAGCTGTCAAGTTAAGGATTGAGTGACAGCGGCCACATATGACAGCGGCAGAAGGATGGCAAATCGCATGTAATCATATGATGCTTGCATGTGGTTAGGAATCGTTCTCTCCATGAAAGCACTGTCCGGGTATAGTGATTGATTCGTAACAGCAGGTAAAACTATGCAAATTGTGATGAAAATATAAGGGAAAATTTAATAAGCTTATACTTGGCAAGGGCAGAACGCATTAAAAAGTAAATGTGAATACAACAAACTGTTCTATAACACCGGCCTAAAATTACATGAGACAGAAAATTAAAGCTTTACAGATGAGCAAATATTGTCTAAACAAGGGGTGTTTTTACTGAAATCTGAGAGTGTTTTGTGTATTTCTTCCAGATCTATGCAGTAATCCAGTGTCAACCTTGCCTGTGTGCAGGAGCTTCCTGTAATAAAGACCAGTCACTGCTGCTCTCCCTCCCTGTGCAGGGTGAATGGTCCTATATCCGCCTCCCTCCTGTATCTTGCTGAAAGAAGCCTGTTTTTGGTGGATCTGCTGGGCCAATCCCACAGCTCTGCACAAGCTATGAGGTCACCAATACTTTAACATAGTAACTGGGTTTGCAAAGGCATTTTGGTGGACAAAAGGAGGATTTATATCTGTTGTGGCTATTGAGGAACATATTTAAAAATGAACTATTTGTTAGCAAGGAGAGCATAATAGAAAATGGTCTTATTGTTTTTGGACATCTATTTGTTCTGTTATAAATACATGCTTCCTGTCTGTATATGACCACAGAGACCCAGTCTTCCTGACTTATTGTTTAAGTCATACTACAGCTATGTGTTCAGTCTAATTTGAGTCACACATCCCCACGAGACTCTGTTCCTGCGCAAGTGCCAAAAAAAAGCATTTTAAAAAGGGTCTGCTTCAGGAATCCTTCCACATGATTACAGGCTGAATCAATTTTAGGAAGTTAACATAAATGATGCCACACCAAGGTACAAAGCCCTAATGTGACTAGACCCTTACTAAGCTGGAGCTACCTGGGTGATTGTTCATATCTTTCCACAGGACTATAGAAAATCATGACACTTTTATCCAGGATTTGATTCAGGAAATTAATCACCAGCAATAAAATATTGAGACTTCAGTTCTTTTCTACATTCACTGGACCCTGTAGATGCTACAGCTTTGTAGCATTCATCTGTAGCTGCCAACTGACCACACTACATTTCTATGCACTTACACTTCAATGATGTGCCATGATGGTCAGGAGTGGCATTGGATAACTACAATTGGCGACTCTATAGGCCAATATAAAGAAAAACTCCAGGTAAACAAAAAAAACGTACTCTTCGAGTGGACTTGTGTGACAAGGCCTTTAAACAGATTAGTAATACAGCTGTGCCACTTTGTAGTGGTGGGGAAAAAATAGTCTCCGTAGTTTTTGCTGAACCGCTTAAACGCCTATTTACCAGGCATTTACTATACGTTAAGGCAGAGCAGAAAACACTTAAAGGAATGTCAGACCATGTCAACACATGCCGATAGCAGGACCAGCCTTGCAAGATCATACACACTCTAACTTGAAGAGTCTCTGGCTTTCCTAACTGCATATACCCCATAGTGGAAGAAACGCTGCACCTGTCAAACTGAACAAAGCCAAAATCAGAACAGCTTTGGTAAGTATGCTCGTGTGAGAGCCATGGCTGTGGTGTGTAAAGCAACTACACTTTGTATGGTATCATATCTGAAAAGTAGAGAATTAAGATTGATATAAATATTTTTATAAACCTTTCCAGTTTTAGAGGTTACAAAGCATTCACTGTGCTTGGTTACTGCCTACCAAATGCATTGCGGTGCATGAGCAAATGTGTGCACAAACGCAAATAGAAATGTGCTAAATGCTTGAGTTGCGCGTTTTCATGCGCTTCCATTGAAGTCTGACGCCAAACGTGCTGTAATCTGCCAGAAAGAAATCATGTACCTTTTTCAGTGTTGTGTTTTACAGGTTGTGGGGGCCATAGAAATTAATGGGATTTCTTGTGTTGAGAGTAGTGTCTCACTTAGCTTTGAGCATCAAAATGCCCAGGTGTGACCAGCGTCACAGCGCCATTATGTAAGGGCTTTTTGTGGTTCATTCGGGAATGATTAGATTTTAAATGGTTGTTTTTTAATCAGACAATTGCATTAATTGCATAGTGCATACAAGGTCAGCCATACATAAAGAACTACGCATCACGTCAGCTTACTCAGCACGCACACAAGTGCCCAATCATTTCTAAGCCTGGCACAAGTCTGCGGCAGTTTCTCTCCGCTGTGTTAGACTGATTTTACTAGTACAGCAGCTCATGCCTATTTGGGTTGACATACTACTGGCATTTGACATGAAGGCAAATTCAGCAGGATGCACCTTGATGTACAACTGACCAGAAGTCTGAGGAAATTCTAAAAAGGTACCTTAGGCGTCATCTTAAGCAGTGGCTAAAACTGCTGCCCCGACTATCTTCCAGTATCTCAATTACCAACAATAAAAAATATAACCACTTTAACTGAAACTGCACAAACCTCTTCATTTTAGTCTGGGTGTACAATGTAAAAATAGTTCTTCCCTCAAAACAGTATAATTAGGTGGGGAGGAGTTGATCAGCCAATTATGACCTCATTATTGAGGTGCAGCTTGTGACTCGTCTAATAACCTTCTGCAGGAGAAGTCACCAGCACCGTGTGAAAGTCTTCCTAATCCCTGTATTCTACGTGGGCTACCAGCAGCAGTAACAGCATTTCACATAATAAATTGTTCCTCTCGGAGATTAATATCAGTAGCCTGGAAAATGGCAACTCACTGCTAAAAACCCAGTTCAGTTACAGAACACGAGCCATGCAGACGCAAGGGTACCTCTACTGAAAACCCACCGTTTCCTCAGATACACCATGTAGCCTATAATATTTATGTACATCAGGATTTTTCTGGCAGATGTTTGCTCTAATGCTAATCCAAGATGACTAGTCATGATATAATATACTGGCGAAAATTGCATAAGGCAGATGCCTTGCCTAAACCATCACATTTACTTGTTAAAGATGATAAATACCCTAACTGAACAACGTTCATTTACAACAAAATACTGTCCACCTTTCTTCAAATGCTGCCGATTACCTGTAACCTCTATGCAGCCACTTTCTGCCTACATACATGTGCTCTAGCAGTGGCAGCACAGCCTTTCTTAGAATACATTTCCATATGGCGACAGAGGACCATGTCTGTGCAGTCAACATGACTGCTTGTAGTCAGAAGCTAGTCTACCAGGTTGACAACACAAGAGAATAGCTGGAAGACAGGGTCAGTGTTGTCACCCTAACACAGGAAGTGTTTGAACTAAGACCTTCATAGCAGGATCGCCAGGTATTTTAATTCAATGTAAGCTACAAATTCAAAAAGAATGCAAAATGACACCAACATGATAAAGCTTATACGAGTTTCTAGCGATGGGATGTACGTATACATAATTTAAACCAATCTCAAACTGACCGTTATTCACCCATGTACTGAATGCATATAAGGTTTAAAGCAGAGAAAGTCATAGTAACCCATTACAACGCCTCTAGTACTCAACAAAAAAATGCATTTGTTGTGATAGGTAACCAAAAATTGTTCTCTCTTTTACTGCCTTATAAGATACTCTCTTTTACTGCCTTATAAGATACTCATCTAGCATTATAACCGTTATGATATTGTGCCGCAGACACAAAGTGGCAGCCAACAGCACTAAGAAAAAAAAAAGAATTAAAGGCTGTGTGCCATTTAGACCCACATATACCTTTCCAGCTGATATTTTATAGTCGCCTAGGAAACCCAGAAAGATCTGTGACAATTCTACACAGATCTGGAAACCTGAGGAGCAATTTAAAGCTGAGATGTGCAAGGGTGAAATGCTGCATGGAGGAGGATGGAGGCGAGATAAATAAGTCCTCCATTAAACCCAGCAGCCACACTGAGCCGCCTGTACTAAATATTAACAATAACCAGTTTCTTAAATCCTAAGAATTGCACCGGAGATCCATTAAACATGGCTCTTTTACGATCAATAATGATTCCTTGCCTCTTTATGCATCAAATTAACAGACTATCAGATTTCCTTGTGGCATGTGCTAAAAATAACCAATGTCATTACAAAGCAATCACGGTATGACAAATCTACTGAACGATATGAAAATATACCATCGAACAAGTCCGTTCTGCAACTGTAAACTAGATCAGGTTACGGAGCGTATCAAATTTTTATGTTTGCATTGACCATCTCGCCATACATAATCCCAGAATACATGTCAGGTTCATTTTACTACATGTCAAAGGTTCTACTGTACATGCTCTCTGTGGAAAAATAAAAAAATTCAACCAAGGGGACATGAATGAAAAAGAAAAAAATAACGCCATGCATAACACAAAAACAAAGAGAAAAAATATACAATCAAAAATATATGAAATAAAAATGTTAATACAATGTAAACTAGTGTCTCAGCTATCAGCTGTAGCAGTAAACAAGATGTCCCCAGCTATTAGTGGCACACACAGCAGCGCAAAACCTGCAGCTAGCACCAACCTGTGTGGAATATAATCGTGCTTTTCCGGTAGCCAGAAGGCAGGCGCAGGTTTCGGAGCAGCCCGCACGCAGTCAGCCGAACACGCATATTGGATAAGGAAAATGTGGGAGTCCATAACATTTCTTCAGAGGAAGTGGAGGGAAATCCAGCAAGAAACTGCCTCCATGTACTGCCACGCTATATTTTTAGCTCTCTGCCACCAATGATCCTGAGCCAAGCAGAAGGAAGGCAGAAAAAAGCAATTGAAAAAGCCAGTTCATTCCATCACCCTGACTGCCAGGCACACACATCACCCATCCAAGAAAGCAGAAATCCACTATGCAAATCTGTCCGGCAGCACTCCCCCAACCAGATGTTGCAGAAACAAAGCGTGCCCTTAGAATGAGCCCTCCTCCCAGAGCCTGTGAAGACAGGCAGCCGCTGAATTACATCACACCATGTCCATGCATAATAATCTATTATGCAGCCTGTTTAACCCTTTTTTGCTGTCAGCAATGCACGGTTCAGGCAGGATTAAAAAGCCACACTCGCACACAGAGACTGGTTCCTGTGCAGTGACATTAATCCTAGGGGGATAGCCGTACCAAGATGGAAAGGATGCTGCACCAAGACAATGGCACTAAGGAAACAAGTGCTCAGTGCTTAACAGCAGCCACAGGCAGGCGAAGAAGAAAATGCCAGTTCTGCTAAGCACAGTCTCATCACGACTCGGAGGTGTTCAGTCAAGTGATTAAAAGGAGAAAAAAGGTGGGAGGTGGTGATCAGCATCCAATGGCTGCTACCTCCAGACAGCTATGGTGACAATGACTCCAGTAATCCCGCAGGCTGCCTTAATTTTATTCCTGGGAGCAGAATAGGGAGGAATCCAAAAACAAAATGGTTGCAGCGGTCCCCAAGGATTGTCCCCTTCGTACATATGCATGATCATGGGGGAAGAGAACAGTCAAAACAAAATGGACACAATGGGGATTCTTCAGTCTATATGTATAGAAAAATGATATTGGTGGCTGGCAGGGCATAATGCAACATCTCTGGTGAATGGTTTCCAAGTGACATCTCAGACTGATTGAAAAATACATTTGACAGCATTAACTGTAATGTGTGCTGACTTTATGGTGCCAAGCGCTTTTCTGTCTCTGTATACTATAGACATTTTTCATAGTGAAGATTTGAAGGCAGCTTGTTATGAGCGGATATTACCCATGACCACTATTAAAATCAGCATTTTAAAGCTAAACCGCATTAAAACAAAGACAGTGGTTCTGTATTAAAAACTGCATTTTCACATATCACTCCTAAATGAAAATGACATCTTGCATATCAGAGCACAGACTAGAAGAAAGATGTCCTGCTTCTGGAACCAATCAGGCTTTGCTGCAGCACACATATGCAAATAAAACACACTGATGTGAGAACCAAGCAATACGATTCATCACTGTGCTCCAGATGCTTTATTGTCCAACCACCACAAGGAAGGGGGGATGTTGGTGTTCTTGATTAACCTGTACTACTGCAGTGGAGAACCTGGCAGTGCTGGTTGGCAGGGGTGCCTGGATTACAAGACTAGCTGCACAGAAAAGAAACCCTTTGGTATGTGAAACTGTTTTTATAAATGTATTTCCACCAAATATGCAGTTGCTGGCCTGGCATTCAACTGGAACACAACAAATTTGTAGCACAGATGACAAACTCTTCTATCTTCCAGTAGCCCAGACATTTCTTTTCTGCTCAAGTCCAAAATCCTCCAATGAAAATTGTGACTAGCCAATACAAATCTATTGTCCACCTCTATGCAAGTGGAAGAACAAAAATCAAGGAAGGAATTATAAAAAAAAGGGAATATTCAAACAGAGAATTAACCTATTATTCATTATTGTGAAAGATCTGCTAATGAATAAATTGGGCTAAAGAGAGGGAAAAACAAACAATGGAAAAAAAATGAAGCTATACAGGTGTATAAAAGAAAAAGGACACATTTGGCAAAAGCATAAAAAGAATTCTACATTCCTATAGGCATGAAATAGGTTTGTAAAATACAAATAAAGCCCATTGAGTAGCGCCAAATCTAAAGAAATCCTATTTACTCTGTATAGCTGCCTGCCGGGTGTATTCATCTTGCTACAAAGCCGTGTCAGAGGATAACAATTGCAGAACATGTCACGCCTCAATCGTAGCATGCTTGACCACACTTAAATGCCAGGTTGTGTATTTCTCAATACAGCCCTGATTTACTACAGTAGCAAACGTATACACACCCTGCCACACACAGAACCGAAGAACACTGACAGCTATTCTCAGGATACACAAATGCAGCATGGGAGGTGACGGCTGTGCGATGTGATTCACTACCATGCTACTATAACATTATCCTTTACTAGCAGTGTCAGATGAACTTGCACGTGGTAACAGGATGTGCACTACTTTTAAACATCTGCTTACCTGTGGTGACGTTTATTTAAAGCCTTCCTTGCTTTGAATAGCAGACCCCTTTTGCCCTCTTCCACCTCATGCATCTAACCCTCATGAGTAGCCCCATCAGTTTGTCAGACCAACAGGCTCCTTCACATAAGATGCCTTCTGGGTTATTTCAGAAAATATGCAGCTCCTTCCGAGAAAGTCTTCAACTCATACACGTGGTCCACAAACTGCGGGCCCCTGCGTGCCCTTTCACACGTTAAAATGCACATTTTAGTCCGGAAGATTACTTAAAACTCCCCATCATTATACATTTACTGAATGCAGGTACCCTGGAAAATAATTGGTGGCACCTGCAATTTTTTATGTCGCATGATATTAGCACAAATGTTTATAAAACCCACATTTACAGTAAAACATTCACTTAAAGAGGCAACTCCACATGTTTGGGGTGTGTTATGTACAGTACTGTACATAATTTCTTCACATCTGCCTAAAACTTTTGCAAAGTTAAAAATGCTTTCAAAAAAAAAAAAAAAAATTATATATATATACATTTTTGTTTATTTTTAACAATTTACAAAATACAAAGTGAGAACAAAAGAAAAATCTAAATCAAAATCAATATTTGGTGCGACTACCCTTTGGCTTCAAACCAGTATCAATTCTTACACTTGCATAAAGTCAGGTATTTTGTAGGATTAGAGTCAGGTGTATGATTAACCAATTATAAACAGGTTCTAACGATCATTAATTTCAAAAGGTAGGTTGAAACAAAGTCAATAACCGAAACGAACGGCTGTGTAGGAGGCCTAAAACTGGGTGAGGAACAGCCAAACTCTGCTACTAAGGTGAGGTTGTGGAAGACAGTTTCATGTCACAGGTCATATACCATGGCTAGACTGAGCACAGCAACCAGACACAAGGTAGTTATACTTCATCACCATGGTCTCTCCCAGGTAAATATTTCAAAGCAGAGTGGGGTTTCAAGATGTCCTGTTCAAGCTCTTTTGAAGAAGCACAAAGAAATGGGCAAGGCTGAGGACTCTAGCTGCAGTAGTCAGCCAAGGAAACTTAATGCGGCAGATGAAAGTCACATCATGCTTGCTTCCCTTCAATATCGGAAGATGTCCAGCAGTACCATCAGCACCTAATTGGAGGAAACCAGTGGGACCCAGGTACACCCATCTACTGTCCAGAGAAGTATGGCCAGAAGTGGCCATCATGGAGGAATTGAGGCCAAAAAGCCCTACCGCTGACATGGAAACAAGGCTAAGCGACTCCACTATCCACAAAAACAGAGACTGGGGTGAAGAAAAATGGGAGCAGGTGCTCTGGCAGGAGGCAGTTTATTCGCAAAAAAGCTGGAGAGCCATACAATATTGAATGCCTGCAGGCAACAGTGAAGCATAGCGGAGGTTCCCTGCAAGTCTGGGGCTCCATTTCTGCAAACGGAGATGAGATTTGGTCAGGACCAATGGTGTCTGCAATGATGAGAAATACAAGCAGATACTTATCCATCATGCCATACCATCAGGGAGGTGTGTGATTGCCTCAATTTACTCTGCAGCAGGACAACAACCTCAAACATACAGCCAATGTCATTAAGAACTATCTTCAGCGTAAAGAAGAACAAGGAGCCCTGGAAGTGATGGTTTTGGCCCCCACAGAGCCCTGATCGCAACATCGAGTCTGTCTGGGATTACATGAAGACAGAAGGATTGGAGGCAGCCAACATCTACAGAAGATCTGTGGTTAGCTCTCCTAGATGTTTGGAAAAACCTATCTGCCGGGTTCCTTCAAAAACTGTGTGCAAGTGTACCTAGAAGAATTGATGCTGTTTTAAGGTAAAGGGTGGTCACACCAAATATTGATTTGATTTGGATTTCTCTGTTTATTTGTATCAATTAACAAAATGGTATTTAAAACTACCTATTTACACTTATTTCTGAAAACATTCTTACTTTACAGCACTTTTCACACCTACCTAAAACTTCTGCACAGTACCGTATTTTTCTAAAACCTTTTTTTGATTATTTTTGCGATCATGTAGGGAGCCCCCTTTCACAAGCCCCCTTCTGAAAACACTTTGTGTTACCGCGCCTCATTAAGGAGATGGTAGGGGTCTAATAGTCCATTGTCACCTTTGCAGCCCATTGAAGCTGATCAAGCAAAAATCGTGCTTGATCAGCTTCTTACCTGGCCTCCTTCATTCAGCAGGAAAGTCAGTGAATGAATGTTCGCTGGTCTCATCTGTCTCCGCCCAAACCCATGATGCACCTGCGTTTCAAATTGCATGGAATTGATCGGGCAGCTGTAAAATGTAAGGGCAGGCTGTAAAGCTGCCACTTCCAGTGTGAAGCCAACAGTCAGCCTTACACATGCCAGCTGCCTACAGGGCCCCATTGCTGCCAACGTATGGTATGCATCCGCAGCAGCAAAAGTGTCAACTGGCCCTTCGTGTACTTTACCCGCAAGTGAGAATTGATGGAGAACTATTTCTTTCAATCACTTTACATAATGGAAAACAAACAGCCAAACTAACCTCAAGGAATATATGTGGTGGAGAGTTGCTCTCTCAGGGCCCACTCAGACAGCTAGTGGTGTCCACACCGGAACACCACAGGTCACCACTAGGATACAAAGGAAGCAATTGTTTTCTATTTGCGCTATTTACACTACAACATGGGTGTGATGCGTGGGGTGCTGCGCAAAAATGCAAACATGTTGCATTTTATCACTGCATAAAGGATCCAATCACATGTTGACACATGTAAACAGTAACCGCTCCGCATTGTGTGATGCAACGCACACTAGCAGAGCTGTCACAATGCACTAGCACATGCACTGTGCAAGCAAAGTGTGTATATTACAGCTGGGTTCTCCACACCCCATTCATTAAAATTCATAGTGGCAACCTCCCAGACAGTGTATTGTGTGTAAGGGCAGAGCTGGTGTTTAGTGATCATGTTACACAGAATCACGGGGGGGGGAGGGGGACTGTTCACAGCCCGATTTACAATCCAATCCCGATGTCAGACTGAGTTTTCTGTGGAGAAAAATTTTAATTTGTATGATTTGGGCCCAATAAAAGAAAGCCTGCAATGTGAGTCATGAAAATGTGCACACCTATACAACATCACTGCACATTACCACAATAACTGCTAAATCAGTAACAAAGGTGGACATGGACTTTAAGGTGAGCATTGGCCTGGAAGAGTGGGAGATACAGTGTATGCAAAGTATTTTAAGTGACGTATTCACAATTGCGTGGGCAGCTGTAATCAGAGAAAGGCAACGTATCAGCACAGAAGGCTGACATTTGTTTACACGTGTATGGATCATTTTGGCAAACCGTATTTGCAGGGTTCACCAATAATAACAAAACGTAATTATTCTCTTTGTAGAGCTGCTCTTTTTACAGTAGCAGATTGTTAAAATGATTGAATCTGTTTTTAATTTGTATT